CCCCTTGCTTCCATAAACTGTCTTTGAAGTTTTATCTTAAAATTGATGGGGATGTCTTATTCTAATCAGAAATGAATCAGAATTTCTGTCAATAAAATGTTTTTCATTTCTTCCAAGTCTTAGAATAAAGCAGGTGCTTGAGGAAGATGGGCCAAGGTTACTTATCCTGGGGCTGTGTGCAACCCCAGGAACAGCCTGACTTGGGAGGCATGGACATAAAGGGCTATTTAGAGCAGCAACACCTGGTTTACTGGGTGATGCGGCAAAGTCAACATTTACTGCCTGATCTTGTAAGGAAGAATAAGATAAGCTCAACGTTTGGAAGGCATAAGGGAGGCCATAAAAAAGTCTATTTGATCATGGTTTTACCAATTTGTTTACTTATAGTTTGCAACTTCAGCAAAATTTTTCTTCTCAACTACTTACAAGACTGAACTCAGTTACTAGGTTTATATTCGGAGAGTGAGTGAAATCTTTTTTCCCCTATAAAAAGCTACAGAATAAATGTATGTATTTACTCAGTACTCACCATAACTTTGTCCTTCACATTTCTGACTTTGCTGTCAAGCTCCTTCTGTTTGTCTAGCATCACTGTGCTCTGAATATTCCCCGACTGAGTCTGTAATGGGAAGCACATAGTTAACAGCCAGAACTTTCACTGGTGTATTTACTCCAAAGTCAAGTCCATACCTTGTGCCCCAACAACCTTCCAGACCTTCCCAAACTTACTACGGGCTTCTCACACATATGTCAACAAGAAATTGCTCAGTTCCCAAGGCCCTGGAAAATGCTGGTAATCTTTTAACAAGGCTACAGAAAGACTAGACTCAGTTCATGCCTAAAATAAACAGTATTTCTAGAAGTTTCCATGTATTCATACAGTTGCATGGTACCACATAAGAATTTATTGCATGGTTTCTCAGATTCCATACAAAAGATCATTCTTATTAACGCTGTACTTATTTATCTTAAAGCCTTGCACTTCAAAGTGTGGTCCCCAGACCAGCGGCATGTTACCACCTGGGAGCTTGATGGAAATGCTGAATCTCAGGTCCTAATCTGATTACTGTTATCAGAAACCCCAGGTGATTCAGAAGTACATTGAAATTGAAAGCACTCCAATAAGGGCTTCAATTAAAATCTGCTATTAGAAAGTCAATAACGAATATAAACCCAGACTTGCCTGGGAGTATTCAGTCCTTACTTTTGATAACTAGAAGACTCAGATGAGACAGTGTCTGTGCATTACATAAGGTGTACACTGATTTATTCATTTAGCATACACTTCCTTGGTACTAAGTAAATGTCAGGCAATGTTCTAGGCCCAGGTGTTAGAGTCCCTGTTCTCACAGAGATTAGATTCTAGAAAGATGCTGTTTTTGTTTTAAGTTAAAGTTCCTACATGGCAAAACTGCACCTGTCACCTTTTCTTACATAGTGCCCTGCACAGCACAGATTCTGTATGGGTTTTTTTATATATTCAAATCAGTCTCTTCTTTTATGCCAGGATTTCCCCTCATAATAGAAAGTCTTTCCCTATTGACAGATTATAAAGGAGTTCACCAATTTTTTTCCTAGCACTTACACAGCTTCAAATTGTTTTTTTTTTTTACTTTTACATATCTGATAACATTTATTCTTGTGTTTAGTGTTAAGTATGGGTCCAATTTTAACATTTTTCCAATTGGCTATCCATTTGTCTTAACATTTAACGAAAAGCTCATATTTTCCCCAGTGCTTAGAACTGCCTTTATCATACAAATTTCATCTGCACTTGGGTTTACTTCTTGGTTTTTCTTTTCTTTCCCATTGGTCTCTCTATTCATAAGCCTGAATGCCTGAATCATGTTTAATTATAGAGGATTTATAGCATATCTAATACGGCTAGTCCCATTTCATTGGTCTATTTTTCAAAAGTTTTCTTGCTATTCTTGCACATTTCTTTTAAATACGAATTTCAGAATCAATTAGTGTAGTTCCAGAAAACAACCTGTTGGTATCTTTATTGGGATCACACTAAAATTATAAATTAACTCAGGGAGAGCTAATATCTTCATGATGTTTGTAATTCTTATGCTTCTAATGATTTTCTTTGTCTAATTGCATTGGCCAATACCACCAACACAATGTTAAATAACGGTGGAAATAGTGGACATCTTGCTAGGCTTCTGACTTACTGGAGTTTTTCCAGTTAAGTAAGATGCTGTCACTAGAACTGAGAGATGTATATTTTAGTGTGTTAAGGAGGTATCCGTCAATTGAATGTTTTTATTAGGAATGAGTTTTGGATTTTGTCAGACCTTGTTAGCATCGATAGAAAGAAGCAAATGCTTTTTCCCCTAATATCAACTAATATAGTGAATTACAGTAATGGATTTCCCACTGATGGTCTACCCTTATAACTTGTAATAAATTCTACTTGGTCATGATGGATTATTTTCTTAATGTAGTATTTAATTCTGATCCCTAATATTTAGGACTTTTACACTGATATTCTTAAGTAAAATGGGTCTATACTTTTCTTTTTTGTTCTATCTTTATCAGATTTAGGTAATCAAAGTTATTGTCACTTCATAAAATGTTTTCCTTCATCTTATGTACTCTGGAATAGCAGAACTATAGTTCAGACGCTTCTAAACTATATCAGTTGTAAAGTGTATATTAGAAATACATGAAAATGACTGGTACCCTTGGTAAGTCCCAGGTGCCACACGTCACTAAGCGATAAAAGGGGCTTCTCTGGCCATGCAGGATGAGCTGCCACTTTGAGCAGCTTCATAATGCTTTCTGTCTGCACAGAGAACTCTTTGCTGTTGTCTACTTCCAAGCCAGCTGGATATGAATGTCATGTCCTGTGGGCTGTGTAACAGCTGGGGACTACATCCAGACAGAGGGACCAGGCCGCTAGAGGATGCTGACTATCAAGGGTTAGTTTAGGGAACAGGAGTATCAGCAATAATGGCTGTAAGAATGCAGCTGCATTCCCAGCTACTATACTGGGAATATACCCTTCCTTCTGCCTTACTGGGAGATGCTCAGTGGAAAAACCTGGTGACGGTGGCAGAGGACTAAGAAACCTCCTGCTTCAAATGGAAGCAGCAGTCCTCCAAGCTACTAAAACCCTTTGGAATTCTCATCCTCCTTCCTCTCACTTGTCCCTGCATCCCTCCACCCTACCGCCATTTCCTGTTAAGTAGCTGCTTGGCTGGTATCCTACCAGCATGTACTTAACAATAACAACAATATCCTTATGACCACTCTACACTTTTGATACTGATACTACTTCCAGGATCTTTATCTTTTTAACTTTCTGACAAACCAGGAGCCTTGAGACGACAGGCACATCAAGCATTAAAGTTGAAAGGGACCTTCGCCCTCATCTACTCTGACTTTCTCATTTCACACCTGAACCTCTAGAGACCTTGTTTGGAGGGTTTTAATTGGAACTCAATTACTCGCAGACCCCAGACCAAAGAAAAATCTTCTGCTCAGGAAGGCTGTTCTCTTCAACTGAATGAGCTGCTGTCTAAGTAAGAGTGTATGTGGCCAGCACTTAATGAGTGTCAGAAGTCCCAGACAGAATGCCCTCCCATCCCATCCCATTTATTAGAGAACTGAAGAGCAACTTCTCCAACAAACTGGTTTTAGAGTCAGACAATTCCAGGTTTAAATTCCAAGCCCATGCCTCATCAAGCTCCGTGGCCTTGAGCAAAGTACTTGATCTTAATTAGCAAAGTACTGAACCTTAGTTTTCTTTACTATAAAATGGGGACAAGAATATCTACCTTCAATGATAGTTTTGAAAGCATTTATTCCAATGAAATGTTTATAAACTGCTTAGCACAGGGCCTGAAACATGATAAGCACTGAGTATATGGTAATTCTATTACTATTATTCAAGATTGTAAATATGGAACAGCAAAGGGAAGCCTAAAATGCATTTCACGTCTTCTCCTCCAACTTGAAAGAAATGATCACCTCCTGTACACCCTATGGACCTAAATTTTGTCAAAATGCATAATTAGCTTTTTCATCACCAAAAAAAAAAAAAAAGGAAAAAGCATAGTGTGCTATAAGGCAGCAGATAAAACATTTATAGCCTACTAATTTATAACATTCTCTTAGACATGTTTTCTAAAAGCTTTTCTATTAAAACAATAAACAATGGAAACAATACTTTCATATCTCCGTATGTCTACAGAATTCTGTGCTCTTTAAATGCTCTGAACTCAGAATTTTTCATGTTTTCACCTTGCTGAACCTGTTGAATCCCTATGATCCTATCAGATGGTTTCAACAACTATCAATTCACGGACACTCTTATTTCACCCATATTTTTCTTATGCCTCTGGCCCCCAAACTGGATTATTTTGAAGCAAATACCAGACATGACATCATTCCATGCATATATACTTCAATATGAATAGAAGATATATTAGTAAAATCTAGTTTGTTTAACAAGGGGGATTGGGAATGGCAAAGAAATGTTTCTAAACTGCTTAGCCAGGAGTAGGCTGAATGACTCTGGAAAGGAGACATCGATTGTGCCTTTTCCTTTCCACAGACACCCAGGACTTTCTCTCCTACAAGGCCTTGCAAAGGTGTTCACTGATAACTCAAGTGTCCTGAGTAGGCTGAATGACTCTGGAAAGGAGACATCGATTGTGCCTTTTCCTTTCCACAGACACCTAGGACTTTCTCTCCTACAAGGCCTTGCAAAGGTGTTCACTGATAACTCAAGTGTCCTCCGACACTTCACAATAACCTCTCCCCAAATTACCTACATTTCTAGTGGGGAGCTCAAAGCTGGCAAGCCTTCAACACCCAAAGAATAGCCAGGGCATGGGGCTGGTGTGGGAAAGCAGAGATCACTGCTCTGCCTCCAATGCTGACTCCAGGCTGAGGGACCAAATGTGTGGGTGCAAAGGTGGACAGTCTGTCCTTCTGCCTGCCTGTCTCTACTCTTGGATGTCCTCTCAAGTCTATGTGAAATACAAGGGAGGCTCATCACCTCCCACTGTTAGGATGAAAATCCCACATCACCAGAATTTCCTGCTGAAAACCTCCCAGTGCATTAGGGTAGAGACAGGCACACCTCCCTTACAGGGGACAACACGGCCAGCTCCTCCTCCAACGTGAACACACACTTTTGTTTGCTAGGCTAGGTACCAGATGAACTAGCCAGCTTGGATTTAGAACTAATAATACATATTTTTACATGCTTAGTACCACAAGGTGCATTCAGTGTGCTAGGAAGACAGGAACTAAATGCCTGGGAAGGGACAGTTTCACCAAGTCTGAGAGAAATGCTCAGGAAGTGAAGGAGAATGGCATTCACCACCACTACTTGCATTCCCTCTCCCTCCCCACTGCTGCACAGTTCACTTTATTTGTTAGTGAAATGCACACGGGGCATTCCCCTGTGTGCTCGGGCATTTTCCACCTCATAGTGAAATAGTCTCGGCCAGAATCACCTATACCACGGTGATTTCACAATTGACTGCCTGAGGGTTTTTCTCACTTCTCATTGCTCGAGAAAGAAATAATAAATGCCATGGCAAGTTCAAAAAAACTGCTGAAAACACAAATTCTACTGGTGGGAGAAACAAACAAAAGACTGCTAAAGCCTGACTGCCAAGAAAAGTGTGTATTAGTATTAGTAAAACCATGATCAAAAATCTTGGTACTGGTACAATGCTGACTTATTCACTGTTTGGATATCTTGAATACTTAACAGGTATCTCATTTTGTTCAAAACAAAGCCCTTGATTTTCCCATCAATCTCTTCTCCCCTAAAACCTACTGTGCCCTGCAAAAACCCCTGCTCCTGCCCCCTTCCCAGTCTCAACCATACAGCCAGCCTCGACTTTTTACTTTCTCTCACTCCTACATCTGATCCTTCAACACAAGCCCCACTGGCACCATACCCAAAACAACCTGCTCTGTTCACCGATTCTCCTGAGTGCGAGCTTCCACTGTCACTCCAGAGACTGCCACAAGAACCCTCAACTGCCTGCCTGCTTCCATCCCTGAACCAGCACCTCACAGAATTCCTGACCTTGATCTACAGAAACACCCCATCCCCCAATCACTCCATTAACTCGGAGTGCCACCTCCACAACACTTAACACTACCTGAAAGTATCTTATTTATATTTCTCTCCCCTCACTAGAACTTAATGCCATTAGATTAGAATCTTTCCTAAAGCTTGGTTCTATAAAATCTCTAAATCTGATTTTCCCCACTTCTTGGGGCTATAAAATCAGAGAGATATTCACCATTGAATGAAAGAATGAATTTTTAATTTATTATAATTCTTAACGTTCTATTACAAAAAGTACCTGACTGAATCTCTGGGCATTTTCCAAAATCTTCCTTTCCTCCTTCAGACAATTATAGATGATCATAGACATCTGTATTGGGTCTTCTTGAAAATGATCCTAGATATGGGTGGTTAGAATAAAACTAAGTTAAAATTCAGAATGTTTAAACCATTGTGTATGATAAATTGATAAGAATCTGTTTATATTCCCTGAGAAACATCATCTCTCATCTATTAAATTCTACATAACCTATTTTTGTTAAAATATCCCTTTCCCAAATTATGACAAAAAGTGTTTTAACTTTCCAATTAAGCACAGGTAACTAAAGTACTTCTTGATTAAAAAAAAAAGTATTTCACACATGGTTCATCTTTCCATGTTTCTTGAGGCCAATTATCTTGTGATAGGATCCTGAGACAATGCAAACAATATAAAAACTATCCATGATATTCCTCAAGGAATGTACCTATTGGTCTATGCTTTGAATTAGACCAAAGTTCTTCATCTCAGGCTTTCTGTTGCCATTAGCAAAGACAGATTGCAACATGCTGGTAATCGTGGCTCTTTATAACAGGTACATTCAAGCAAAATCTGTATGAGAGCAAATTTCTGTAAAGTTAATCTGATTTTCCTACTCACTGGTATTATAAAATCATAGATACTCTCACAAAAGAAAAAAAAAAAACTTCCAATTACCTAAGGTGAGAAGTTTAGTTGTGTCATATGAAGCAAGAATACGATAGCCTTCGCCTCCATTAAAACAGAAAAGTTCCATTAATACAGATATAAATATGGTAGCCAGGTTAAGGGCATGCTGCAAATATGTTTGAAGACCTCCTAAAACTCTGTAGAATGGTCTCTCCTGTCTGGATCTTCCTTTGACCTTCTCTTCCAGGGGAGGCAACTCCACCAGAAGCAAGGCAAGATGGGATCTAGTTCCAATTCACCAACTTACTATTGGGCGTCAGAGAAGTCAAACCTTTCTAGGCTTATTCTTCATCTGTATGCCAAAGACTTAGACCTAAATGATCACTACAGTTCTTGGAACTTGAATGTGCTGCCATCGCTAACTGCTCTTAAAATGCAGCTCCTTTATAGTAAAACAAGGTTATAGCATCACATTTCTCTCCGAATTATTGACACCTAACAGGTGGTACACTTACACCTGAGAATTCCTTGTGGGATTATAAAATGATAGTTTATTTTGCTTATGCTATAAATATAAGACACACAAAGGAAATTTACTTACAGTCATTTAAAGTCTCTCTATGTACCAACGAGTTTGTGGTCAATAGTATTTGCTGAATGAAGAAAAGTGTCTTACGTAAACAGGGGAACATTTCAACTAAAACACAAAAACCAGGTCCTACCTGAAGGTTACGCTTGCTTTTCCTTATGTTATGCTGCAGCAAAAAATTATTCTCCAAAGAAAAGCGACTGTATTGATCATCCAGCTGTGACAGGAGGTCATGAAAACGGATGGTAGCAAATGAGACATCGTTGGCTGCATGCTCCCTAGGAGATTTAAAATTTACACATTTCATTCTAGGTACCACTTAAAACACACAAAACAAAACATTGCTTTCCTTACTGAAATGATTAAAAATAACAAAGTGTTTCCTTAGGTTTTATTTTCTTCTTTTGAAACTGACATTGCTTTTAGCAGCAGTTTATACAGTATTTCTATAATACGCAATTAGCATGAAAAATTCTAGAACTCTAAGAGATTGCACATGAAACTGTTCATGGTGATTATCTCTGGAGGGGGACAAAAAACAACAGTATCTTCCACTTTCTATATCAAATACCTTTAGAGTGTTTAAAATTTTTGCAATCAACAAATAATAAATTTTTTTTTTTTAAAAGATGACCGGTAAGGGGATCTTAACCCTTGACTTGGGGTTGTCAGCACCATGCTTACCCAGTGAGCAACTGGCCATCCCTATATGGGATCCGAACCTGGGGCCTTGGTGTTATCAGCACCGCACTCTCCCGCCGGCCCCAACAAATAATAAATTTTTTTTTTTTAAAAGATGACCGGGAAGGGGATCTTAACCCTTGACTTGGGGTTGTCAGCACCATGCTTACCCAGTGAGCAACTGGCCATCCCTATATGGGATCCGAACCTGGGGCCTTGGTGTTATCAGCACCGCACTCTCCCGAGTGAGCCACGGGCCGGCCCCAACAAATAATAAATTTTTTTTTTTTAAAAGATGACCGGGAAGGGGATCTTAACCCTTGACTTGGGGTTGTCAGCACCATGCTTACCCAGTGAGCAACTGGCCATCCCTATATGGGATCCGAACCTGGGGCCTTGGTGTTATCAGCACCGCACTCTCCCGCCGGCCCCAACAAATAATAAATTTTAAAGTAGAACACGTATCAGTTTTAAGAGATATCTTCTTAATTTTATTACATTTTTCATGTTTCTAATCAACGTTTTACCATAATTCGGCTTTAGTTATTTCTCTTTTTTCAGTGTCTGCTTGGTACAGGGATCTGAGCCCTCAACCTTGGTGTTACCGACACCACGCTCTAAACCAAGCGAGCTAGCTGGCCAGCCCTGAATTCTTTCTTTCTATAGCCTGGATCTTAAGTTGGAAAATAACAGGTGTTAGTATTATCTTAACTCGTCCAAAGCACTTGAGAGTAGATATAATTAAATTTGACAAAACTACGAGAAGGTGCTTAATGACTAATGTATTTAGCTTTGTAGAGACACATGTCATTTTTCAAATCAACAAACTTCTCTGCAACAGATAATGCCAATGGCCATCGATGAGATTCATCTCTCAATAAGCATGGTTCCAAGTCAGTCACTTAATCAACAAATATTTTTAAGGTACAGATAAACTTCTTCCTCTGTCTAGTGAGTTTTCCTTACCAGTCTTGCTTTTCTAGCCACTGTGCCAAGTACTGTCTGATTTCCATGGGAAAACTGTCATCATAGAGCTGGTGAATCTGCTCCAGGAATTTGGAGTCAAGTTGCTGAAGCTCATACCACTGAGACATCCTATGGGGAAAAAGAACATACATCATGAATGGAAGACCACATCTCCAAAGAAAGCCTTTCTAGCATCAAGTTTCTTTTAAATATCTCATTTAATCTAAAACATGATTTGTCTCTGAAATATATTATTTAAATGATGTCTATATTCTAAAGCCTGTTTTTTTATTTTTCGTCTTTTTCCGTGTCCAGCAACGGATCGCAGCCCTCAGTGTTGCTCCCGTACCGGACCGGGGACCGGCAACGGGATTGCAACCCTCGGTGTTGCTCC